GGCTCCTACAATAATACCTCCCAGTAATAATGTGCCTAGAACTCAGCCTACATACAACCAAAACCAAATATTGACAGAACAACCTAAAATTCAACATCAAGAAGAACCTACAAATCATAATGTGGATATAAAAGAAAATCAAGAACCTATTAAGAAGGATATTCCGATTACTGAAGGTATAATATTTTATTTTAAATTTAAGTTAAAATTTATGGATGAAATAAAAAATTCTAGTTATTATTTATATAAGTAAAAATATTCTGATATGAAGGTATTAATTTTATATGCCAGTAGTTATAATGTAAAGTCAATATGTTTATTTGTCTTAATTTTTTTTTTTTATTCATAATTTGCTGACACAAAAATTAGAGAGTTATACAAGACTTAAAGAAATTGTCTATAGGTATACATTTTAGAATATTGTGTAAATTTAACTAAATTGAGAGTATTGCTCTAGTCAAGATTTTAAATTAATAATAAATCAAACAAATTATAATGATTTGAAGTCAGTAAATCATGAATATATGTAATGAAAAAAAAAAATCTTAACAATTTACAGTTGACTATAATAATATTTGCACTAAATAATAGGAGTAGAATAAATCTGTCCATAATTCATTTATTTGATGTATTGGTTGATGATGACTTTAACCTTATGATAATTTTAATCCTAAAATAAAACATATTTTCTGACATATCTTATATATGTAAAATAAATTGCCCTGACTGATTATCATCACTAAGCCAGAATCGCTGAAGTTACGATAAGAGCAGATGAAGTAAAAACATGTTCTAAATTGTGGCATTTACACTACATCTCGATTGAAGAAACTATATCTTTAAACCAGATGTATGTTTGTACTTAATTTATTCAAGAACTATACAATTGATTTTGACAAATATCTGAGAGATTGTTTTTAGAGATATCGGAACAATTAAAAGAATAATTTAAACTACCTTCAAAAATATACCAAATTGCAATTTACAGTATTATTTCACAAAGCTATAGGTTATACTGACATTCATTTGTCCTTGAACTGTGTGTGTTATACAAAAACTGAGGAACACTTACTGCTGTATTTTATATTTGCTCGTTTTTCTCGAGCGAGATCGGGTTTTAGTATTAAAATATAATTTTATAGAAATATAAAATGTCTTTTAAATTTTTAGCTGTTTCGCCTGGAGATCAGCCAAAACCGTTGTATGCACAGCTCTTCAAGTCAGGTGGACGATCATCAGAAACTCATACTGAAGCTCCTCCACCAGTTTCTGTACAGACACAAAATTACTCATCACCTTTACCTAAAGCAACTTCACCGGTATATTTTTGTTTTGATTTTGTACTCATATTTAATTCTCCACAATTAAATACATTCTGTTTCTATTTAGGTTCGAAATAATGATTATTCAAGCAACGCTTTTCCTAATAACCAGTATGAGCAGAGAGGCAATGTTAATAGAAATGTGAGGAACAACTACAATGGTAGAGGTGGGGGAGTTGGTGGAAGAAATTTGAATGATAGACCCAGTAGAAATTCTTTTAACAATCGTGAAAATGGTTAGTATTTTAATTTGTTAATTTCATTATGTTAGTTACATTTCATTACATTAGTTTGATAAAAGGTCAATCCACTCTAATATGAATACATACAATACAAAATTGATTCTGCTAAATCCAAATGTTGCTTTGTTGTTACGTGTTATGTTTACTTTTTTAAGATGAAGACAACATGTCACACTCACTGATTTGCTGTCTTTTAATATTTATATTTTAACTGTTAATTTTGTATAGGATACAACAGTGGTCCTGGCAACGACCCTAGGATTAACAGAGGTAACCAATCAGGGTCTTACAATGGTATGTTCCAGTCTGATGAACAACAATTATTTATTGGGAAAATCCCACCCGAAGTTCAAGAAAGCGACTTACGTGTATGTGTACATCTACTTAATAATAATTCTTTAATATCATGTTTTAATAATAATAATGATTTTAGAACTTATTCGAAAAGTTTGGTAATTTATTGGATGTGCGGATAATGAAAGGAGGCAGCAAAACTGGTGATCCATCTATGAATGGCAACTTTGGTTTTGTCATTTTTGAAAGCATAGATACGGCGCATAAAGTATTAAAGAGTCGAGTAAGTTTGAAATTAAGTAAAATTGTACTATCTCGCTACTCATTCAATTCAAACCCCTTTTGTGAAAATACAGTTTTAAAAGTATCACAAGCCGCAGTTCACCTAAATATTGTACACTTAATGCATTTTTGGCAATTCTACATTCCTTCATGCATAATTTGTTTGTGTAACATGTTTTTATTGTACTTAAAATTCTTTTAACCTTGCTACACTAATGTATGCTCTACAACAGCGGTTCTCAAACTGTGTTCCGCGGAGCCCTGGGGCTCCGCGAGAGTAATCTAGGAGCTCCGTGGCTCCCATGTATCATCCGTATTAATACAATTCAAATTATTAAATTATTATTTTATTTTTTAGTTACATTTTTAATTTTTATACTTGTATTCAATATTATTTGGACCTTACCAATATGTATTATTTTAAAGTTTAAATAACGCCTGTTATCGGCGTATACGACAAACTGTAAACTATTTATAAATCCACATATTTGTTTGTAACCAACAACATTTTCTATGAATTATTGTTGTCTCAAATAGACATTTCTGAATTTTGGGGGCTCCGTAATTTTTTTTTAGGAACATGAGGGCTCCGCGAACAAAAAAGTATGAGAACCGCTGCTCTACAACCTGTTGTATGCTACGTAAAATAAAACAATTTTACTTTTGAGATCCATATTTTTAAATCACCTAATCTTAAAATATTGTGAGCTGGTTTCCTAGAATTGTATAGTTACTGGCAGTGAACATTTATAATCCATGATGCACATCATATGCCCACTTTTTATCCCCTTAATATAATATTTGATTATTATGTGACTACATATTTAAATTTTTGTTTCATATTATTGGTTACCATAATATATCCGACAACCGTGCGTAATCTTGATATATATATATTATATTTAAGGGGTGAAATAATGACCTCTTAGATACGTTTGAATTGCTTGTAGCTGTGACACTATTTTAAACATTTTTTAATACTTTCGTTATTTAATTAATCTATTATAACATACTTTCTGAAGTTACATGGATATATTTATTAATTTTAAAAAATATGTGTAAATGATTAAAATATTTTTAATTTGTTTTTGTTTAGCCTATTATGCTTCCTGGTGAAAATGGCATCAAGTTGAATGTTGAAGAAAAGAAAAATAAGTCCAGAAGTTCTATGGTGAATTCAGATGGTGGCGGCGGCGGAGGTGGTGGTGGTGGTGGTGGTTTAGGTCGTGGTGGTATGCGTACAGGCAACCGTGGAGGAGGTTTCAACAGAAACCAGAATGAAGGACCTAGAAACAACAACTTTAGGCGTCAAAATTAATAATAATAATAATAATAAAAATTAAGTATATTTAAAAAAAAGAACTTCAATAAATACTAAAGATGACCAGAAAAATCCCTAATAAAGACGCTGTTCAGAATTTAAGAAAGACTACAATTTTATACTGTTTTTTTTTCTAGATAGCTTCAAATTTTATTTCCTCTGCGTTTATGAATCTACATCCTGTTACTATGTATCCATTTTTATAGTGTTAAACTCCAAAGTATTGACTTTGTCCATAATATATAAATCATTCATGTATTGAATCGTAAACCTAGTCAAGCAAACTTTTTCAACATTGTTTTAAATATTTTTTTTCAGTTCACAAATACTTAAAGTATTGTTTTAATTTAAAATAAGTCATTTATTCTTCACCTAAATTAAAATCATCATTATTTGTTGTGTAAAAATATATATTTTAAACAGGATGATTTTAAAAAAAAAAACAAAAAAACAAAAAAAACATTTTTTATACAAATTCAAAAACTTTTTTTAATCATTCTGTTTTATAAATACATAGATTAGGTTATTTTCTACCTAATCTAAACTATTTTCAACCATCTCCTTAATTTATTATTATTATTATTATTATTTTTTTTTTTTGAATAATGCTAAACCTTGTAATTTAGTTGTATTTATATGATGTACATAAGTGCTGAATTCAAGCAACAACGCTTAAGTACAATGCCCATTTATGTAATTTTTATAAGACTAAAAATAGGCTATCAGTTTTTTAGTAGGGCTTCCTTGACAATAGGAATTACAATGAAGATTTTATGATGTTCTATATAATATATATTATGATTTATACCACCGCCCTCCATTTTTTTAAAAAATATTCCTATTCTTTTCTTATTATTTATTTTTTTGTGAAAAAAATGTTCATTTTAACGTAAAACAAATTTAATAAAAAAACAAGTATTTTTTACTTCCAAATCTTTATTTTTTTTTCCTTCTGCTATAAACCAGACATTATTTGCTGTTGCACAATATATTTATGGTTTTTTTGTGTTTTTGAAAGAAAAACAACTATTTTTATACCATAAGCTTATACAAAATTAGAACTACATTTGTGATACAATTTTATCATTAAAGACAAAGATTAACCTTTTTTTAATATCTAAAATATATTTATTAAGTGAAGTATGAAATATTGAACACTTATTAAAGTAGTAACGTTTTTATAAGAAGTTGGGTACACTCAACGTTAGACACGTGAATCAAATGAGCATAATGCTTACATGGGTTAAAATATCTTGTGGTTAATATGCAGCCACATCTTGGAAGTCGTAAATAGATATTATATTTTAAATTGTTAGAAATTGTTCTATTTTTCAGTATTTTTTTTTCTTTGGTCTTTTTTACCTGTTACCCGGGGATCTAAGTGATAGTGGTGATACCTCACCATCCCTTACGGGGGCATAAATCGATTATTTTTTTTATGTTGGCAACGGTGAATTCGAAAATAAAATAATTTTTTATTTAATTCAAATTTTTTGATGAAGTGTTCTTATCTGCTGCTGAGAAGCTCTCGTGATAATATTATCATAATATTCGAAATTTATATATTAAGATAAGAATGAACACTGTCAAACGTCGTTGGGTATATTTTAAATGGGTCTCACGCCTCTTTCACGGGTGGCTCGTTAATAATTACGACCCAGGACCCGTACAACTGTTTCCGTGCCAAGTCAGCGTTCGAGCGTTTTTGTGATCACCATGAATATCTGTAAAAACGTGGCCGTCTGCGGGCGGTGGTTCGTCAACGGGACAACACCTCGGAGGCTGTCAAAATCTCTGTGGACGAAATTCCAGACCAACTTCGGTGTCTACGACGTAGTAGACCACCTGGGAACCGTCAGCGACCTCAGGACGGTACCGGAGTACGTCACGTTACCCTCGTACGCCAAGACCGGCATGGTCGTCGATGAGCCGGACCAGGATTGTCCACCTGAAATCCAAAACAAGGGTCAGATCGAGATGCTCCGGCAGAGCTGCAAGTTCGCCAAGTTCGTGCTGGACAGCGCCAAGGCTCAGTTGAAAGTCGGCGCCACCACCGACGACGTCGACCGTTTCGTGCACGATCTGGTCATCGACAACAATGCATATCCGTCTCCGTTGAACTACAACGGGTTCAAGAAGTCCGTCTGCACGTCGATAAACAACGTCGTGTGCCACGGAGTACCTGACGATCGGCCACTGCTCAACGGCGATCTCATATCCTTAGACGTGTCTGTCTATCTGAACGGTTTTCACGGCGACTGCGCCGCCACCTATTGCGTAGGCGATGTCGACGACTGCGGTAGAAAACTGATGAGCGTGGCCGAACAATGCATGTACAAAGGCATAGAAGCCTGTGGCCCGGGCAAAAGCTTTTCAGACATTGGGAGAGCCATAGAGTTATATGTCCGTCAACACGGTCACAGTGTTGTGCCGAGCATTACCGGCCACGGCATCGGTACATATTTCCACGGGCCTCCCGTGATTTTCCATTCTACTTTACACACTTATCCGGGAATAATGAAACCAGGTATGGTATTCACTGTGGAGCCGGTAGTTTGCCAAGGAGGTAGCGATGTAGAGATTTTAGAAGACGGGTGGACCATAGTGACGACCGACGATTCTAGAGGAGCTCAATTTGAACATACAATACTGATCACCGATCACGGATATGATATTTTAACAGTTTAATCCGTTCAAAGGGTCAATGGTAGTTTGTGAATTCCTTTATACTGCTATTATAAACAATGAACTTCTATAGTAGACATCTTCCGCTACAAGTACAATATCATTATTTTAAGGACTGATTGTTGTTAAATTTAAAAATTGTATTATCATTTGTTGTTTAATTTATTTGAGAATTGTTTGTAATATTATTTTTATATGTTGTTCCCATGAGTATAATTAATTAAATAATAATATACCAGTTTTATCAAAATGTAAGCAGTACCTATAACCTGGATTTGATCATCACAAAACTAATGCAACCACAGTTACAATGATTAAGTTTTTACTCGCACCACAGATTTTTTTCTGTAAGTTTGCCAAAACATACAGATGTAATAGTGGCTATTATTTGTTTTAAAAAAGATTAATGCATTACTTGGATGGGTAATAAATAAACAATTCTAAGCTTGTCGTTATTTTATTTTTAATGAACACATCAAAAATATATAATATTAATTGATTACCAATAACGATGAAACAAATCAAATAATTTAACTTTATTTTTTGTTCTTGACTTTAATAAGTGTATACATTGTTTTCAAATTGTATGTAGATAACAATTATTAATTTGATTAACATTTCTAAAATTTGTACTAATTCAAAAAAAAAAAAAATATTTAAGAATAAAAATAAAGTATACAAACAAACAAGTATAAATGAAAACAAAACATAAATTGTAACACAATCTTGTACACAATAATTATAACTGTAAAAATTGTTTAGTAATTGTATAAAAATATGAATTAGTCAATATCCAATAATAGTTAATATATATTTTTTTGTAAATGGTATAATATCGGTATAAAATTAAAGTATCACATTAAAATACAACTATAAAATATTCAGTTAATATAAAATACAAATTTGTAAAAACAATGATAATATAGAAAATGTCTGCAAATATTGTGAATTGAAATAAATAGATTAAATTAAGCCGATACAAAAGTTAAGCAAAGAAAAATATGAGAACAAATCATGGTTTCTCTTCAAGTATAAATCGTATAACCAAAATTGTATACATGCTGATAAATTATAACAAAAAAATTTGTAAAACATGTCATAAAAAATATATTTTAATGGTTACTGCATCATGTAATTCATGACAGCGCGCAATGCAAATAAAAGTTCAGCCTGCATTCGTGCTTCCATAATCATTAAATTTATATGAATCTGAAACAATTGTAACATAACATTGGTAAATAAATAATAATTTATGTGTAAAACTTTTCTTTCTAAAGTCAAGAAAGAGAGTGACTTTAAAGAGGCGCAATAGTCGACTGGAGTAGTATGCAAAAAAAAAATTTATATTATACAGAACAGCGGTTCCCAACCGTGCGTTTTACGAAATTAGAGACTCGACTGTGGCGCGACGGGTGGTCTATAATCAGTAGGGCTACTCAAAATGTGCATTTAAAAGTGGGAGTATATTGAACAGCCGCATACAGCGCTCAGTAATTTCAAATCAACCACGCGTTTGCAAGGTTTGAACGACACTGAAATCAATATTTTTGACCACCGGCCGCGCTACAGTCGAGTCTCTAATTTCGTGAAACACATTTTAATGGTACAAAAACGTTTTTGAGTTGGCATTAAGTTTAAATAGATTTTCTAATCTAACCTATAGTATAGTATAGTGTTAATCTAACCTTTTGGGCCCTCTAGGAAATTTAAAGACATTTCACTAATGCATTCTGTGTACATGCATAAGATTCAAATAAATAAATTATTTAAATTTTTTTTGCTAGACTTAAAATACAAACTATTATCTTTTGTTGTTAGTTATATGTTACCTTTTCACTTAATTCAAAATGTTTTAGGGCATTTTCAGTGGTTGTTTTGTTCAAACGTTCTGGGTAACAAGTAGCAGTCTTGACAAATACTCTCAATTGACATTGAAGCAACTGTGTAACATCTTCATAATCACAATCATCATTTCTCATTCCATAAATACAATAAATATAATTCCAAATTGCTCTGCGGAATCTCGAAGTATCAATGTGAGGGCGACCACCCATTGTATAGTATGTCATGTTATAAGCAGTCTTGAACTTTTTATCCAATAATAATCCAATGTCATTAAATAAACGGTTAGTTAATTCATAACCATGATGATCCCAAGAAAATTCCTAAAGATAGAAACAACAGTAAGAATTATTATCATTAAATTATATTAAGTACTACTTATCTTATACAATTAAACTTAAATTGTCTTGGATTTACCAATAAACTATTCTCTAATCCTTGTACTTTACTAAATTGACCAAACATTAAATGGTCGCTGTCAATAGCCCCTCTCATATACATGGCGGTGGCAGTAAAAAATGAGAAATAATGTCGATTGCCAACTAACAAAAACCAATCAATAAGTCCCTGGTATTGACCCAGAGAGAGCCTAACCATCTCAGCAGTTCAGTATGCATGCGTGAAAGTGGGTAAACTTAAATGGGATAAAGTATAGTTAATAAGTCATTAACTTAAATTGTACATTTTTAATGTATTACACATGTATTTAATAGAAAAATATTTGTTAAAAATTGAATATTAATTAGTATGTTAACTTAAATAAAAAATTATTCTAAATCAGAAATTAAATCATAATGCAAGTTGTACTGATTAAAAAATACTATGGATGGGTTCTTAGACTTTATCAAACAGTCAAACACCCCAAACTTTGTTGGAAAGTTGGAAATTAATACTAAATATCAACTACCTACTTCAAACTCAAATATTTCAAGAAAAATCAAATTTAATACCAATATTATTATACCTAAATATAATTTGTTATATATAATACAAATAGGGATACCCTAAAATACTATTTTAATTTCCTATAAGGCTCAGTTAAGACAGGCCAACAGGGTAAACTTTTATTTAAACAGTTCAACATTTCAAGTTTAAAAATGTTCCATAATATAACACTTTTAATTGTAAATACCTGCAAAATAAATGAAGATTGTTGAGCAAATTGTCGACGTGAGCAATCTAAGTAAGAATATCCAGAATCTTCAACAAAAGGTTTTACATCTGGATCCAAACCATTATCAGCAGAAGTATCACTGTCACACAATTGACTCTGAACCAGTTCATATCGCTGTATACGTTCTTGTTCTGAGGCTGGCTCACTTAGTTTTTTCATTCGTTCCACTATTGGTTCAAGACCATCATCGGCATAGCCTTGAATATATATTAAATAAATAAAATTAACACTGGTTTATTCTGATTTGTAGGTGGTGAACATAAAAGTTTCAGTTAACATAATTTATCATGAACATAAACATTTAAAACACTGTGTGTACTAATTATAATTTTTTGATACATTAACATACCTCTTAAGAATGGTTTGCTACCAGGACTTAAATAAACACTAGTCACTTTTACAGCTCGTGGTATTTCATCATTTAAGTTGGAAGCAAACACAAAGCTACACAAACTATGAAAATGAACAAGCAGTACGAGAGCATGTCCTAAATCTGACATTGACCATGAGTTCGGACCTTTGACGACTTTCTATTAAAAAAATAAAATAAGTGTAAATTATCTTGCATGCTAAAGACAGCAATTACTATACAGTTAATTATTATAAATATAAAAATAATAATTTTGAGTAATGATTTGTCATTGAACTGGTATAACATTTATGTATCAATATGTTTGTATATTTATATGTGATATTGTAACAAACAAAATGAGGATTAAATTGTTTCATCCACATTAAAATGTATGCATACCTTACACGTTCCATTAGAACAAAACCTTCATGATTATGTGGTATTAATAATAATTAAAAAAAATTAAATACCTACATTTATTATTATACTGTATTAATGTTTATAAGTAATAAGTGTTATCATAATAATAGATTAAACTGCACAATAAATTAAATCATTAAGTTACTGACCTAAAGGGACAAATTAAAAAATCATTAATACTCTTTGTATAAATGATAATCACCTTATAGCCATCAACTCCCCAGTTCAGAATTCATACAAATTAATGTTATTAGAACATTTTAAATTAAAATTGTAGAGGTATAGATATTATTAAACAAAGTATTTTTTTTTTATTGGTACAAAATGTTATACAATTGATATGTATAAACTCGAATAAAAACTTATCAACCATTTATTTTTTTATCAGCATTTTTTTTTTGCATGAACAACTCATATGTTTTAAACGTAAGAACAGTCATTACAAAACATCGATAGATCAAAAAATATATTTTAACTTCTAAAATATTATCATTTAAGAATTATTTTTTTTATAATATAATTACTGTTAACAAATAATTACTATTCAAAGATATAATCTACAAAATAAGAACATATTTATGAGACATCAGACTACATTTTGGACGTTGAACACAATTTACTTAAAATCATAGGAATTCATATTTTTATTGTTAGAACTAACCTTAACTTATAAGATAACATCATTGTCACCTGACTGAAGTATACGCCCATAGTACAAAGTATAAACCAATTTTAGAAAAATTAATTATTTCAGAGTACAATAATATTATAATTTATATTTTATTTTTAATATTATTTCATAATTGATTATACTTGTTGGTAGGTACAATAAATTGGTTTTGACTACAAAAGACATTTTTATTGGTCAAATTATAATGGATACATAGCACAATGTGGACACTTGACAGAACTATTGTTGAAATCGTATTAAAATATAATGAAAACAGTATAAATACTTTGAACTAATTTTTGATAACTAAGAAGTGTATGTTAACTCATTACTAATAATTAGACGGAGGTACCCTTCATCCACTTCAATACATCACAGTGTATTGAACAGATTATAATTATTATTGTACACACTTGATAGAGATATTAAACATAAATTAATATTTGTTTTTCATGTTAAAAATATGCTGATACATTTTAAAATGTATGTTTATAACCACCTAAAGATAAGTCATACTTTTGTAGATAAGTTACGTATAGTAGTATCATACATTTAACTGTTATTGATTACATTTACTCTACATAGTATTATAAAAAAACAAATTATACATTTCATCACATCAACATATTTGTCTCAATAGGTTTATAAATTAAAAATCATACGTGGGTAATTTAAAGTAAAATTATTTCATCAATCGAAGCAATAAAAATATATATTAAATTATTCATATAAAGAATAACACATGACATTTAATTAGTATATTTTAACTTGAATACATACTTGGATATCTTCTTTTGTTACTAGCCAAGGTCGATGTGCTAAAATCTTGTTGATTTCATATAAATTACGAAGTTTACGAGGCACATGTGAGAGGCCTTTCAACCAATTAGCGTCACCATTATGTTCCAAAAATTGTTTTTTATGAAAATTTATTAGATAAGTGCACTTGTGCCGACCAGCTGCCTAAAAAAATGTATACTTGTTAAAATACAATAAACATAAATAACTGAAGAAAAATAAAAAACTAAATATTGAATGTCTGAATGTCATGATTGCAAACAATTGCAAAATACTATTTAAAAGTAATTGTAGTATATTTACCATAATTGCGATGTAGTGCCGATACTGAATAGGCAATGGACCTTCTCTATAAATTATAAATTCTTGCAAACTCAGAAAATCCTCGAGGTATGCGCTATGAAATTTCATGATATTGGTCACATGGTCCAAACCATAAACTGTATTGGCGTTTGATATCCCATGATCCATTTCAATGTCTGCCTAAAAATGTAAAAAAAAGTTGAATAGGTTAAAACAATTAGTGCACCTCCGTAGGTGTTAACAACAGATTTCAAAATAGTTAGAATGTTAACGCATCACAATTATTTTGCTGATTGTGTTAGTAGTTTTATACTGTCGAGGAGAAAACAAACATTCTTAAAGACAATATGGTTCAACCCGAAGGAATTAGGTAATATTGATAATGAATGCAATTTAGTGCATCATAAATAAACAAAACATAATTTGGGTGTTGCATAATACAATAGTATGAAATGAAATCCTATACGCAGCAAATTGTTACGGGCACATCATTCAACATCTTGCAATGTCTACGCGTCGACAACAATTTAAAAAAAAACAGAAACTATACGGTCGTTAGGTAGATGGAAATGAAGTGTCGGTGATGTCACGAAACCTAACCTATTCAGTATTAAGCTAGTCCACTTTTTGTAAATCAACGGCATTAAACAATAGAACAGATTTTGTACTCCTATTCACAAACTACATCTGGGTACAATTTGGCCAACGATTTGTTGGGACGAAATTAGTCAAAAGTTCGAAGATTTGGGGGGGGGAAGGGGGAGGAAAAAAACAGGGGACAGAAAAACATCGTTCGATCCCGCGGTTTCATCAGCCCATGTACCGGTATGCTTACCGCCTCCGCCGACGCGTCCCGTTGTGTTTCAGTCGAGTCCGGCGGCCGCACGGGACCGCCGTCGGCGAGCGGTGCCGTTGTTCCGTTGGCAGTTTTTCGCGCCGCCGTCCCGCCGTGGCCCTCATCGTTGTTGTTTGGGACCTCCGTTTTCGCGACGAAAGAACAACCGACACGGTGGGAAAACGGAGAACGCGCGAGCGGTCGGTACTCGCGGTGGGCACGGCAGACACCCCGGAAACCGCTAACCGCTAACAGCTGACGAAATCTTGCTCGTAGATCGCGTAGACGGGCACGGGCTGCGGCGATCGTCGGCGGGAGGGGAGGGCCGTGGTGTGAGCTCAAAGCTGCGCGGGCGACGAACGGTTAGCGATCAACCGTGTAGTTCTCACTATGGTACGACGGTACCGCGGTATGCCTACCGTCCACGGACTACGAGTGCGGAGTGCGGACTGACAGCGTTTACGGGTTTCGGTGTAACGAACAACAATGTCGCGGCGTTGGAGGTTGAACTGCTTGGACAGTAGTTGGACATCGGTACTCGCCGCTCGGTGCGGTCGCGGCACTGTGGCGGTGTTGTTGTCGCGCGCGCGCGCGCATTACGTGATTTCTACCGATGATGATGATCCGTCGGCGGCAGCGTCGACGACGATGATAATGACGATAACAACACGCCGCCGTCGTGATGATTTAAAATAATATAATATTATATTTTTTATTATAATAACTTCATCAAATATAAGTAATAATAATTATTATTATTATTATTATTATTTATAACGTATCATAATATTAAATGTTAGTCTGCGGTGCAACGATGGTGTTTACGACGATAAGTGTTTACTATCACTTGTTTGTAAAAAAAGAAAAAAAAACGAATAACAATAACAACATAATGTAATATTATGTACACGAGTTTAACTCAGCGTAGGTACCCTACCACCGAGCTTCTTTTTTAGTCGTTGTTTACTATGTACATTGTACATAATATGTGTATTGAACATGATATTATGCGTAATAAAATATAAAATCAATAATAAAAAAGGTGGGCAAGTGGGTACCGCTGTGCGATACAGTAGGCGTCGAGTGGGTCACTGTAATGGATGTGTTGGATTTGAATATAAAATCATTGTTGTACGGAAAACGATTCTGAGCAAAGACGGCCTGTCAGTCTGTATTGCTACACAAGTATATTTTATGTATTGTACCTATTTTAATGGCTAATGGCTATTAAAGTACTTATTTTACTAGTAGTAGGTAATACTAAAAGACAGTAGGTCGAAATAATGTTTGCCAAAAAACTTGCGTTTGAAAATGTCATTGAGTGTATAAAATATATACCTATTATACTGAAACCAAAAAAAAATTTTAAAATATTGGACGAAAATGTCAAATTGTACCTACCGGCTACCTTCTTCAAAAGTTCCAAGTCCTCTCAATTAATATTTTTAAATCACAACGAAATCACTAAAATCGTTATTCTTTGTTAAAATATCTAATTTCGTCCAAATTTGAACTTAATATATGAATAAAAAAAATTGTATTTACATGTTTTTAAAAAATTTTGGTTGCAGTGTAATATATAATACTTACGAAAAATTATGATTTGAATGTTCAATCCTTAGCTGTGAAAATTGAACATTTTATTAACTTTGAGCTACGATATAAATTGAAAATTTTCTTGTTTTGTAGAATTTTGTCAATATTTAACTTTAAATGCTTAGGTATGTGTCTTTAATATTTTTGAACATCTATCATAGTATTATACCAACTTATGAGGAACCTTGTATTAAATTTTCAAGCTTTTTGACCCAGTGAAAAATGTTTGACAAAAAATTAGTATATCTTGAAAAGCTAAAAATTTCAAGTATTTACTTGTTCATGGGTTCTATCTTCTATCTATAATTCGTTTTTGAATTACAATAAAACAAGAAAATCGTACAATGATAAATAGTTAATAATTTATGGGTGAACATCTAATGTCTTAAAAATTTTCAAACGCTCAACAAAATTAATATGACTACTAAGTCTGACTATTTCCGGTAAACTTGTTTTGACGAAAACAGAAAATCTTATGAGAAATCTTGTAGTAAATGTTTCAATCTTAGATATAAGTAGAAATTTTTTTTAGATAAAAATTAATAAAACATAAAATTCATCATGAAATATTGAACGGTCGAAATACGATATCAGAAATTAAACTAAGTTAAACATGTTGTCCCCAATATATATATTATACTACTATATATGTATAAATTAAAATATAGTTAAGGTTATAAAAAAGTCTAGACATTCATGCATATACAGTAAAACTGTATTAAGACCCTCTTCAGACTTCAAGGGACTCAACTCTCTAGAGCAGCGGTCGCCAACTTTTTGGACCTTGCAGACCACTAAAACTATACTCTGAATTCTACGGACTACGTATAGCTTTTTACACGAATAAGGTTCCACTACTGATAGATTTTACACCAAATTAATATAAAAAAATACATACGTAAAATAAAAAAAATGTTTTATTTTAATTTATTTTGTGCAATTTTGGGTCCAATGTAGTCACTACATGTCGTAGAGCTCTACTTATTTCTAGCTGATTTTTAGCTATTTTTCTGCGGACCACCGGTTGGCGACTCCTGCTCTAGAGCGTCTTAACCGAATCATATGGAAAAAAACGTAGATGATATTAATATCTGTATACTTAATTACAAAATAATTATTATACTAATTATACATATTTATGTATAATATTTAATCAATGTTTATATTATGCAATTATTAACAAAAGCTATTATGCAATGAAAGAGATGTTCGTGTCGAAGTTAAGTACAAATTTATTTTTAATACATGTGCTAAAGGGACTGGTCTGTCATATCGCTCAAATACTCAGCTTGTGTACACCTTCATTACCTGTGTCTCGTATAGAAAATTAGAATTAAATCAGCCGGAAAAATACAACTGAACAATTTTTTTCATGCTATGAATGGATGCTTCTCATACTATTTTCATAAAAAATTGTTTTTCTTTTTAAAATCTGTTAAATTGGATTGAATATTTAATGCAATATATACAATCGATTTTGAATAAAATGTTAATTTTATGCATACCATGATTATTGATCTAATATAAATTATAAATACCTAGTCATAATGCAAATTATGAGTATATGCAAAACATTACAATTTAAAATTGCTCACATATAGCAGAAAAATAATTGAAATATCATAAAAAGTCAACATGTAAACACAAATAAAGTTCTTATCTTGAAGTTTGATAATAGGTCAATTCACTTTATTAAAGCCAACAGCACAAAATCGGTTCTGCTGAACGTAAATTTGCAATGTTACACGTGGATCAGAGAGAGCAGTAAACAAATAGTGTTCTGACATCATCACAATAAATTTTAATAATACATGTTTACTGTTAAAGGTCGAATCGTCGTCGTCGTGTTGTTCATATGTAATATGTAGGTAGGTTACCTATTAATAATTGAGAAAATGTATTTTTAATGCATTACGTCATTTCATCATTATTAAAAATGTCGTTATGTTTCTAAGATAAGCGCTTTTATGTAACAATAATAATACAAAAAAATGATTTAACTTTAAAGGTTGCTATAATATTTGAAAAGCTTAACTAAAATTCAATATGTTTAAGGTTTTTATTTAAATCTTAATAAATTGCTTTGATTGCAGGTATATACAGGTACACACGAAGTAAAAAATAAATAGGATGTGATGCGTTCACAGCACGAAATAAAAGTCAAAAGACAAGTAAACAAAAACAAAACGAAATCCCAATCCCATTCCCTATCTCAGACGGGAGTAAATGCGGGACTATATGAATTGTTTTTAAATACAAACACTGTTTTGTTTTAATTGTGTTGTCTCTCTGTGAATTCAGCTTTATAGTAAACTGCAATTCGCATCTTTGATCAGATCAACCAAGAACCTTGGTCTGAAAACTGACTCGAACACACGGTAGCGCATTATATTGTTTTCATGTGCAAAGAGCAAATTATATTTAAATAATTAATATTAATGGTAAAGCATGTTTATCGCGTTAAGTAGATATGTAAGTAAGTACTTATGTATATTTATTAACTTGTTTTTCACAAAAATAAAAATAGTTGGTATATTATAAACATTATTATACAATCAGTATATTATAATTTGCAGCAGCATCGTTTTTTTACATAGGTATTGAAAGACTTGAAAAGTTTAAACAAAACAATGTCTGTATAGTGTATAAAAATAACTATTATTTAATTTTACATTCTGAGTAGATCTTATGGGTTTCTAAAATTTTTAATACCTATCTTATTATTGTCAACACTTTACAATTATCTTATTTTTAGGTATGTATAAGTGTCCTACGGCTTAATAATTTTCGTGTATCGGTGTATCACACTATGTCACTATTGAAGGTTATAATAATAAGAAATCGATTATTATTGGTACCTACTGGCTACTTTATACCTACAATCTACATTGAAGAGTTTAATTTGATTTTTGATTTTTTCAGTATTGACTATAACCCATAATTACCTACCTTATAGACAATAGCCATTTAGCTAATAGCTATACAAAATAAGACTTATATAATAGTTTCTCTAAAAGAAAAAACTACCAACAACATACTCTCTGGATATTCCGTGTTGAATCGTATTATATTTTAAGAGTTATCATAGTACTTCCCCTATATTACATCAGTACATCATTACTCATAAAGTCCTATCGGATAAACTTTAAAAAAGATTCCAATAAATTATAATGTGTTTAGTAGGCATTTATTATATATTGGTGATTAGTAATTACACAATACTTAAATCTGGTACTTCTTTTAAGCAATTAGTATCTGATTTTCTTTGACACACTTGTCTAGTGTCACATACTCTGCTAATACACATAAACGGATAATATTATTATTGATAAAAATTGTACTTATTTTTTTTAATACATTTATTCAAGATTTTTTTTTGTTATCTTACGAACACGGCATACACGCCGCAACACACAAACAAAATTAAACATTTTAGACACTATATTCTAGCCATGAACGATTAATGATTGTACTTGTACAGTTATCATGCAGATTCTGCAGAATCATTAAAAGCAATACACTAGATGATATATTTGTTATTTGATTAGTTGTTATAGATATATAATATGTATATTATAATTAATAATTGTAATTAGTCATACAAAACAAACATAATCAAACATTTTATTTTTTGATGGCATCTTTTATTTTATTCATCAAGTACCTATATGTAGTCACCTATAGTATACACTAAATGACTAAATTATATTTTATAATATTAACCTTAGTTAGGTTAGGCAAATAAAATTCTATGAACTATATTGTGATGTATACCTATGTGTCTATATTGGTTTTATAACTTAAGTTGATACCAATAGTATTATTATATTAATAATAATTAATAATAAAAGAATAATAATACAAAGAGAAATATGGAATATCAATAAATAAATAAATAAGTTAAAATAATTATTAAAGATAGTTAATACATGTAGAGTGTGACTGTAGATTATGTATACCGTATACGTACATAAAATTGTTTTTTCTCAAGTATGTATATATATAGGGTACCAATGTACCATAATATTTTCCATGAGAAATAACGGCATTATTGTATAGAGACCTACTTTATTTTAATGTACAAATTAAATAATATATATTAATACTCACATTGTTCTCATCCATCGTGGTGAAGGTAGTGGGTACAGGCTTTTAATGTAACTTTGATGGCTGAAAGACACCTAATTGAATATAATATTATTGTCTAATACATTTCAAGATAATGTTCAACTTTATCAGTTTCAAAGGCTCAACAGTAGATAGTTCAAAGTAAATAGGTATATAATGTCAATGGTTTCAAGTTGCCTCTGTATGTAGGTACCTAATGAATCATTCTAAACAGATTAGGTATACAATGGAGGTATATAGTACATTAATTATAAGGAGATATGGAAATCTAAGGAAACATAGGTAGTGATCGGGTGGTGCTTAACTTCTCCCCTCAGAAAAAAAAAATTATTAGATAATATCCACTCTCTAGACTTCTTGAGTCTAAAGTATCTATAAAATAATTTTCTATCAATAAATTGCCAAGATCTCAAAGCATAACAATACATTTTTTTTTAGATTTTATTCACGGTCATATTAATAAATAGGACCCAGTTTTCAATGCAAAGTGCATCTTTCTTAGTGTGATCCATAAGAAATGCTTCCCAAGTTTTGCCAAATAACTATAACGGTATAACGTTTATTTTGCATTGTTTGGCATATTTGGATGTTTTTAAATTTTTCAAGCATTTTTTTAGCATTGTTCAGTTATTTTATAAGTTTTAATGCATATTTGTATGTATTTTGGTATGTTTAGAAGATTGCATAATAAGCCCTAACAGATATACTTGTCATGTGTTTACAATCAACATCACTGTCACCGCATCAATTGTTCAAATTAATTAATTACATTTTTATAACATTTTGAAAATATACATTTTGCATTAAATATATATATATATAATATATTGTATATATCAATTTTAAGGGCATTATTGAGATAAGATACATTTTTGGCAATTTTTAAAATCATTTTGTGATGATTTTTAAATCATTTAAATCAGAGTCCTACTAATAAACAATTATGTAAATTATTTGATTCAAATTTTGAATACAGAATCTGACAATCATGCGTTTTTCATTAAATTAGTAGGAATATCTTTATTATTTTTCCATGATAGTCTGATAGATTATATTATAATACTTTAATAAGACTTTAGCAAAACTAACCCCTCTTCAAAGACTGCAGGAAATAGGAATCATAATGATTAATATTTTACTACTGAATTAAAATATATTATTTTATTTTTTAAGTAAATATTCAGTTTGAGATGACCGTAGTCAACTGTATTACACTTACACAAATGGTAATTTCTGAAAATAAAATAAACCACGAGGTTGTAAACTTTTGAACAAAACAATAACTAAATATCCCCGAGTTCCAAATCATTTAAACATTACAAGTATCTGCCTAGTAATTTCCAATTAACTCTGCAACTTGCAAATACTGTTTTTGACTGTCTAACATATAAATATACACTTATGCACAATTATTGTTACAAGGAGGGTTAAATAAATTCTTCTATAGTATAAATAGTAAAATATTTGCAAATCTATATCAAAAGAATCGTAGATATATTTTCATATTTTCAGATAAATAATATATTATGGTATATTAAAATCGAATTTGTGTATTATAATATTCACTAAATTTCTATGTGTCTGAAATGGGAGATTTAAAAAAAATAATTATATATAGATTATTAAAATTGTTATTGATGTTTATTCGTTTTTGTTATAAAATTTTCGTACGTAGGGGATAAAGAATGAGGAGAGATTTAAAATTAATTTGACGAGGACTGATGAGATTCATAAAATACTACATGTTTATACATAAAATGTTTTTATCTATATATTACAGAGGAAATTAGAATCAACAGAATATTTTGTTCAAGTTACTAAAACACTTATGGTAAAATAGACGGTAAAACAACAAAAAAAAGTGTACACAATTGTTGAAATGAACATTTTGGAGGGATAAAACTCAAGACATGAAAACAAATAAAATTATATAAAACAAATTGCACATTTTTCATTTCAAATAAAATTAAGTATAAAAACAATTTATAGACATCATAACTTATTATAATGTATATATATATATTTTATGTACCTAGATAGTTATTAAATATTACAAAATAATATTAGCAACAGTAACAGTCCCAATTTGTTTTTTAAATTCACAGTAAATTAAAATAAAAAAAACTTAACGATATTTCTAAATGGTAGACAATTTTGGAATGTGCTTAATATTTTTGCATTATTAAAACATTTACAAATTATATACTTTATGGCGAAAAAATAAAATTATGAAAATTTGGCACATAAATTTAAAAAAAACACATGTATTACAAACATACATTTTAAAATTTAAATCTGAAATCAAATTATCTTAACTGTCTTCAGTCTCATTTGAAATTTGAAACAATAATGTTTATAAGTGGGTTCTGTACGTTAATAAATCTGGCAAAAATGACTAGCGTTTTGCCAAAATAAAAAAAAAATAAAAAAAAATAATAAAATATAATAATAATAATAATATATATAGATATATATATATATATTTATACACATATAATTATATGCACACACATATACATATATATATATTATATATATATATACATTTTTAAATTACACATAACTTTTAAAAAAATCTATAAGTACAATTTTTCCAATAATTCTGAATTACATCTCTACTCGCTAAAATATCAAGAGTATTTCTGAAGGTACGACGAAAATTAATGATTTACTCGTGACTTCATTTTAATTTTAATTTTTACAAATTATTAGTTTTAATAACTGGCACAATCAATAAAGGAGGTAGAAACACAATTATATAGGGCTGTGTATCGGATACAATTAATATATTACATATTTGATTGGTACCTACGGTAATATTCTTGAACGTTAACATAATGCATGTAAGATATAGGAACATATTAAAAAATAACAAGTGATTTCAATGGCATGTGTGATGTTTACACATCGATTGGAGATAATAATTTTGGAAATATGGACCACGAAAATACAACAAAACGCATCTCACTATGTCCAATACTAATACAGCCCTATACTTTTATACAAGTATATAAATACGAACGAACCGTCGTCATACGCGTTGATTAAAATATTATTTCGTTTGTGTCATACGTCGCGTCATTGTTATACAATATTATTAAAAACCATGTGAAATAACAACAATATCGTTCAAACGTCGTTATGTTTTGATTTGATGACGGACATATTGAAACAATGATAATAATAACGAAGCGTTGTGAATTTTTTTGTGGGGGAGGGTTTGTTTTTTAAACATTAATTTTAATTTTTAGTGGCAAACAAACAGCGTTTATTCTTCGTGAATTACACACACGACACGATTAAGAACTAATTATAAAACAATTGCGTTTAGTCTCTGAGGTACACAAAGGGATTCTATGCGAAAATTCTCGAAATGGCAATACAATAATAATACATCGACAGTAGCGATAACATTGTCGTTTTGAACGAATTTTGCGGTCATATTGTGTAAGTAGCAGACGAGTCCCGAATGGCGAGCGTCCCGCCTCGACCGTCTCGTGTATTTTTTAAATTTTTTTTTTGGTTTATTTGCCTACAATCGTCCCCGAATATAACACGTCATAATTTCCGTCCTGCAATACATTCACAATACGCTTACGAATATAATATGAACACGAATATTAAAACTATATTTCGTTAGCATTGCGCATGCGTCGTCGTTGCGCCGAGAATAAAACAAAAAATTACGATAAATTGAGCGGGTGGGTCATTATCAATAACAATAATAAACATCATAGTACGCAACAACAATAATATCGCGACATCTCGCGTGCGACACAATTATGGTCGTCGTCACGATTACAATATTATTATTGTCGCGTACTGTTGATTAGCTTCGCTACGTCACGCTGATGGCGGGCAGCGCCCGGTTACTGTTGTTGGGGCGCTGTTGCTGTTGTTGTTCGGGCTGATTGTTAGGGCCACCGCCGGTTTTCAGATCGTTCTGCTGCTGCTGCTGCTGCTGTTGCTGCTGCTGATGCTGTTGCTGCTGCTGCAGCAGGTCCCTGGGGTTGTTATGGCACTTGTTGTTGACGACGCCGCCCGTCAGCTGGTTGACGCTGAGCGGGTTGTTGATGTCGTGCGGGTTGGTGCCGACCGGCTGGTGGTGCCTGGTGGGCACCACCACGGCCAACGGCATGCGCACGGACATCGGCGGGCACTCGTACTCGGACACGTGCGGCGTCAGCGGCGTGGCCGGGGACAGGCTGGCCTGCGTCAACATCCCCGGGCTGGTCAGGCTGGACAGGGCGCTCAGGCCACCGGGGCTGGACGCCGAGTCGGCCTCTTCGTTGTCCGAGTGACCCAGGCTGCCTGTCGACTGGTTGTCGTCAGACTGGTTGCCCGAGTCGCCGCCGCTCTCGATGTACCGTATGCAACGTTTTTTGCGCCTAGAAAACCGCGTAAGAGCAACCATTAATACGTAGATAGTCGTACCATCTCATCGTCGTCGTAACCATAAAATATCAAGAGAATAATATAATATAATGTTATAGATGAGTGTACGCATAATATACTAATTTAGAGCAGAGGACTTCTAATATTTCAATAATTTTTTTCATAAGCGATCGTTAAAAAGGTCAGTTAGGAACAATTTTGTTTAATATAACGACATATAGGTACGTATTTGTAATTTGATATTGCATATTTATAGATGTTTTTTGGTTTTTGAAGCATATTGTTGTTTTGGGGATATTTTCATAAATTGTCTTTTAAGCGACAATCAGTTCTTTATAATTTGATTATTTAAAAGTTTTCACTCACTGCATCCGCAGTGGCTGCTGGACGATCGTGTATTCGCGTGGTACACTCGTATATCCACCTAGCTATGGTCCGTGTCTTACTTAACATTGTTCTTATTTTAGATGCTATCAATTTCATTTATTTATTCGTAATATTTATTATTTATGCCACTAAGAAAGGCAACTATTTGTGCCACTATTTATTTTAGTGCTTCAGTACTTGCATGTACCATGTTTTTAAGGGCTATATAATATTATGTCCTCTGCCCTAAATATTACGCAGAGGGTGTATCCGTGAAGAATTCGACGAATTGATGATGAGCGATATGGTAATCATCGTCAAATCTTCAAAGAGATACACACCCTGCCCTATGTATACTATTTCATACACGCATGATATAATATTATAATATAGGTAACCGATTGGCAAAAATTAAAATAAAGTATAAAAATCGTACAAATATTAGCGGTAAAATATAACGCACGCACAACCCTCAGAAAATGTGGGTTTTATTCAATCATAATAATAATAATAATAATAATAAATAATTATATACATACAATTTTTAAATAAACTCATATTCAAATTCCCCTCACTTTTATTAGATCATAAATTTGTGTACAGACTAATAAGTCTAATACCTAGAGGTAGTTCATATTTAGCAAACGATAATGATTAGGTGGAAATACATATTCGCGAACCTTACAATTTTCTTAAGCCGTGAAAAAGAATAACGACTGTCAAGTTATGAGAAAAATAAATTGTGGGTACCAAAATGATCAAAATAATAGAATTTTAATACAGTTGCTATAACAGTTAACATAATCGTACAGTGAAAAAATCAAATAGAACACGTAAGCGATCTTTTCTTTTCTTATGAGAGGAGTTTGAAATGTTTTTAAAATTGCTAGCTAAAACAACAAGGGATCACACACAATTCAATGTCTACTCTAAACTATATAGTTGTAATCCAAAAATAAATACAAACAAATCCTACAATAATTAGGTAGCTTACTATAATTAGTATAGGTAATAAAATGTTTAAAAAAAAAAAAACGTTAATGCAAAAGAAATAATAATAAAAGTGACAAAATCAAAAACAACAACAACAAACTAAAAGTTAAAAAACGAGTAAAACTGATATGGACGAAGCGCATACAACAACATAATGCATCGCCATTACTAATAAAAAAATATATAAACACACGCATTAACATATAGGGAAAATGAACTCACGAAATTGATGATTATTTGGGTTATTTATATTTGGATTTGTTTTTTTTTTGTTTTTTGTTTTTTGGTTTTTTTTACAGATTAACATATGTGGGCCCCTGTGGGGAAGCAGCGTTGGAAGGGCCGTGAACGTGTTGTGCTAAGATGCTTCCTCCGCCTGCTCCGTCAGGGCTACAAACCATATCAGTCGTCATACACACAATACATATAGGTATAGTACAAAATTCCACAAAAATATTATAGGTATCCTAATTTTTTACATACATAGGTATAATGGTATAATAACACTACACAAGGACATCCAGAATTGTAGACGAAAAAATCAACTCGTAAGACACAAAGTCGTTTTGATATCGTATATTCTGGATGTCTTACTAAAAATTTTTTTTTTTAAATATACAAATCAAAATTTATATATATTTTACTAAATATATTCAGAAAATGTGTCTACATGCTCTAAAATTACTCAAAAATGTGGGCAATATATATATTTTTTAAACAAAGACGTATTTCCGTGCTTCAGACTGATATGGTTAAAAAGCTTTGTATTAAGGATTAAGCTAATAGGCTTAAAGCTTTATCATTAAGATTACTTTTCTCTGGCAAGACACATTTTCTGAATAGGTTTGCGGCAATAAATACAGATGATCAACGTAAGTCGTTCGTTGTAAATATCAGCATATTGATAAGGAATGAAAATCACTGGGAATGATTTGAAAAAAATATGAACGAGTATCACACGAAAGTCGTAAAAAATATATCATGTAAACATATAGATAATAGATATTATGTAATATACCAATAGGTATATACATAAGAAATATGCAAAAAAATAAAATGTTGTAACCGAATCGTCAAATCTTAAATAAGTAAGGATTTATTTATAAATATAGGTACATAAAATACCTGTAGTTATTTGAACGATGTTGTAGCGGACTACATAACAAAAACAATATTATATTGAAAGTTGGCTCTACAAAGATATATGGACAATTTAGAAAGCCGTAATAGATGTATGTTTCTTGTAAATATGAAAAATACTTAAGTATATTTAAAAATGAGGATATCACAGGAGCCAGAACAAGTATTTTTATTAGATATTTACTCGTGAAATTATTCTACATTAATTATTTGATTATAGCAAAATATTATCGTTGTGAGTATAATTACCTGCAAGGTTTACACCATTGGCTTTGCTGGTCGAGTCCGTATCTCGCACGGCATTTTTTCATGCTGTTATTACCTATTTGATAAAAAAAAAAGGTAATTAGAAATAAAATCGTTTTAGTTTTGTAGAAAACCAATATAATTATTATTTATTTATTTTTTTTAAAGCATAGGCGTTCATAAGCAAAATACGAAAAAAAACAACAACCATTATTTTCAAAAAATAGCCTTATTTTGGGTACCATGCATACATAATTGCGCCAGACAAACACCTCGTTAAACTCCAAAATTAAACAACAACAAATAAACAAATTATGTGTTCGCTTTCTTTTCTGATTTCGGTAAAATATATATATATATATAGGGGGAACGTGCATCAAAAAAGCGTCTAATGTTCAGGAAACGAACGCATTAGCGTAAAATTAATAAAAAAAAGTATGAAGATAGAAAATAAATAAAATATATCAATTTTATTTATTCGACATTATTATTATTATTTTTTTGTTTTATTTGTTTTTTTTTTTTTTTGGGTTCTACCTCCGTCATGGGTTTCTTGTTTGCGCTTCCTCTTCTTGGCCCGTGTCGCATTAGTGCGCGACGACCAGTCTGGATAGAGCTGCATGTGTATCTGTCTCTCACGACGCGCCAGCTCATAGTACTTGGCCTGTTCTTCGCGACCTAACGCGTGCCACTATATTGCCACACACAGATACACAAATGTAAGGTGACAAATCGTAATGAGTTTAAAAAAAAAAAATAAAAAAAAAATAAAAAAAAAGATCAACACTAGGTATACATTTGTTTCGTACAAATTATTACCACCAAGAATTAAAACGGAAGAAAGAGTATCACCTAGTCGGTTACAAAAGAATAAAAAAAAAAAAATGATTTTATTGTGTGATTCTATGTATTATTATCATTATTTTTATTTATCGTTTCTCCTCATAAAAGTATGATTTAAAAAAAAAAAAATAAAAAAAAAAAATAACATTCTGTTCAATTATTTGGAGCTAAACGTGTGTTTGTACGGCAAAGTTCTTGTGAAACAAATCTCTTGGATAAAACAAACGTTAAAAGCAAGCTACCAAAAAAGTTGTTTTTCGAAAAAAACATCCCAAACTATATATATTATATAACATTATATTATATCTTGTTTGGTGCACGACCACCGGCAAGCACGCATTTCGTTTTGACCATTATGCTCGAGCTACGACCAGGCTATAAGATTGTTAATATATAGGTATATATAGTTAGTATATTATGGCGATTGTAGTGTTTATACACATACAATATATCATATATGAGTATATAATATGTATATAAACGAGTATAATATAAATTATAAATATAAATATGAATAAAAACATGTCGTTCGGGTTACATACGGACACAATTTATGTCGACCACAATATTATGTCGTCTAACATGCGGCTAAAATGTATTTTACGTAAATTAAGTTATCGTGAAATGGTTGAAATCTACTGATGTACAAGATAAGTAGGTATGCATATAGTTCTGAGTGGCTGAATGAATAGCGAGTATATTATACATACTTATGCTGAAGGGACGTTCTATCAAATTTTTAGACAAATGGTTATAATCGATATACGAATATGAATATTAGTATAAATGTTATGTGTGATTATATTACATTATAATATATAAATGGATTTTAGTGTGGATGTTAGTATTTTTACTTAGCGTCCTGCACACGCCAAACAATATGACACGATATACTTTAATATATTATTATATAGACCCGGAAAATGTGTTATTTTTATTTAATTATTACACCTCGAATAAAATATGGTAACTATGTATTTTAAGAGTTCTTGTTAGAATACAGAAGTGTGTGTTGTGGGCACACTGGTACAGGTTCGGGAATAACGTTATCTATGTTTAACAACAGCATAATAAAAACCATTATGTCCATAAAAGGTAGTCAGTCAGTCAGCTAGCCAGCCAGCCACCTAGCCGGAAAGTACTTTTGAATTGATTAAGAACCATTTACTAAGCACCGCAGGAGCTACCAGAGGTATATAGAAAAACAAAAGTGATCCTATATATTATATATTATGTTGGGAATATAAAAAATAAATATGACAAAAACGAAGGTATAAAAAAATCTTTAGCCTGGATCGGTACTGCATGCTGCTATTTGCACGTGGACACGAAAAACAAAAAATAAATAAATAAAAAATATAATGCCGATTAATAACGAGGGACTACCTCCTGAGCCAGCATCTATGACCGGTACGCGCTCTTTCTTCCGTTTCTTCTTCTTGGCGCCGTATCCATAGTTATCCCGAGCGCTCCAACCAGGATACAGTTCCATATGGAGTTGTCGTTCCTGGCGCGCTTTCTCGTAGTACTTGGCCTGCTCGTCTCGCGACAGAGAGTGCCACTATATTACACAAAACCACTTTTTCAGTTCGGTTTTTTTCCCACTTATTATTGTTATTATTATCTTTTTAATTATTATTATTGTCCTTTTTTTTTTTTTAAACAAATTCTCCATATTTTTATTATTATTTAAAAACAAACAAATAAGTATACACCAATATATATATATACTGGAAAAACTTTTTAATGGACACTTACCCGTCGCCCTAGTATCTGGTTGATAGCTGCACTCTCTTTGAGCGTACACTCTGCCACCACCTTTGCCCTCATTTCTTTCATGTACAACATGAACGCATTCAGAGGTTTCTTTATGTGAGGCTTCTTTTTATCTATACGATTCGTAAAATGAGAGAAAAATATTTAAGTCAGGTTACATGGGTCACGAAACCATGTGCAGCACTATAAAAAAGACATTACCTTGGTTATTACTGTTTTGGACAGTATCATGGTGCTTGGAGCCGTCTGAGCACGAAGAGTTTTTACTATGGTCGTTTTGCGGCCTGAAAAAATAATTTTCTTTGGTAAATCGAAATATTTCGTACCGTGCATGTGGTATATCGTGCATAATATTGTAAGTAAGTAAGTAGTAACATTAAATGTCGAGGTTCGTATATATACATATATACATAGTAGTCTGCGCTGCATAGTGCATACTAATTCGATTTTAACCGAGAAATCGCAGCACAACAATAATCCGACAATTCGAGTGTGAAGTGGTACATAATTATTCACCATCCTAATCCAATTATAGGAGAAAAAAAATGAAGAAACCTATATACATGCGGCGAGCCCGAACCTATGCCTATATTTTAATAGTAATATTTTTCCAAAACGAGCGTGTATAATTTATTTTAAGTGTCTAATTCACGCGAAGACCGACGTCTGTTATCATGTTTTATATAGTGGCGACCAAAAGACCAACCGAGCTGCGGAGCCGCTACAAGAGTTGGCGGGCGAAACCGATCTCTTCCTATCGTCCTTGTTAGCGGCGGACGACGATGGGACGATTGCCGTCGAGGTGGCGGTGGCGGTGCAGGAAGACGATGTCGACGACGACGAGCAGGAGGAAGAGTATGCGGTGGTCGTGGTGGTGGTGATGGTAGCGGCGGCGGCGGTGGTGGTAGTGGCGGCGGCCGCGACGACAGCGGCAGCGGCTGCGGCGGCGGCCGCGTACTGTTGTGCGGCCGAGTTGTGCTGCTGCATAACCTGCCAGAACCTGTTAGCCGGTGTCCAGAACGACGAGGCGGCGGTGCCGGTAGTACCGTACTGTGCAGCCGCGGCGGCCCGCTGGAACAGTTGATCGTTGAGCATGCTGTTCATGTACAGGCTGGACAGCAGGCCGGACGGGAACACGGGAGCCGTGGCCGCCGCCATGACGGGTGGCGACAGCACCGTGGACGGGGCGACCACCGCCACCGGTCGGTTTTTGCGTTTCACGAGGTTCAGCGGTTCCATGTGTGACTAGACCGAAGAGACCGTCGTCCGATAAAAACGACACGTCAACGATACAATAGCGATAATATTGTTGCGAGGTTATGGCTGTGTAATGAGCGGACGGGTAAACGGCGACGACACGGCACAACGGCGCGAACGACGCGTGCCGGCCACCGTTCGTGGACGGCGTACGGGCGGCGACATGGCAGCCAGCACCGTGGTACTCGTCGTCGGACTAACAAACGGGCGTACGCTGCGGGCGAAAACGCGTCGCGCTGGTGGCCGACTATCTTTTGAATAACACACGTAACACACTCACTCGCGCTCGCACGCGACACGATAGTAAAACACAATGACCGAGGGCACCGGGACGACAAATAATATTCGCCGGAACGATAGAAAAACGCGAACAACGATATTATTATAATATATATATTTTCGCGCAGTTCCGTCGTCGTCGTCGTCGCCGCCGCCGCCGCCGTCGTCGTCGTGACATTTGTCTTTCTCCCTCGTTCCCCTCTACCTCTCCGCCGACGGCGCCACACCCTCACTCAGCAATACCACCCCAACCCTCCATCCCCTCGAAACCCTGGCGGGGTCACTGAGCTCTGCCCATAAACGTCAATAATGATGGAATGCCTACGGCGTTACGTCATTCATACCACCCTTTGGCGTACGAAAAAAATAAAAATCCCGACGACGACAACAACAACAAAAATACTGCCACCGAGCAAGTGTACCACACGCACTCGAAACACGGTTTTTTTTAAACTTAAATAGCACGAATCGTGTACCTAAAAATGCTATAAAATACTTTCCGTTGGTAGTATTTGAGAATTCAGCACTGAGCTTTCTATATCGCAATACTTTGATAGGTTCCTGGAAATTCGGCATCCGCGGTAATGATTTTTTTTGTTGTTTTCCACCTCATCCCCCACATCGAACAAACCCGGTAGTTTCCGAGTAAATTTAGGTACACCAGTAAAATGTCGTCGGCACAGAGCGCGGGGTTTCACTAAGAGTCATTCGATATTATTCTCCGAGATGGCGACATTTTAGGGGATGATGTCGTCACCGACAGAGGGCACGTGCGGTTCCAAAAATTATTTATATAAATGCGTTATGATGGTTACTAGATGGAGTAGTGTATACATTTCGCAAAATGTATAACAATAATAATATTTTATAACAGGGATGGCCAACCAGCCTTGGATAATTTTACGGCTAGTACGATCCTTGGATAATTTTACGGCTAGTACGATTTATCACACATTTGCAAAGACATTCTATTTTTGTGAAAATCGAATATTCCGAAATGCCCGCACAAGGTAATTCCGTCAAATTGAACTGATTGACTTCCAACACAATAATGAATTAAAACACATTTTCGAAACATCAATATTAAAAATAGATTATAACATTAGTGTCACAAAAGAAAAAAATTTTAATTTGAGACATCTGACACAAAAAGTTGTGACTGCTTTTGAATTGATGTGCAAATGCAAGCATTTCTATAGATTTGCAAAAGTTAAGTGAACGAGTTAAGAAACAAATATCTCACTAAATAAATAAATAATAATAATAATAATAATATTATTATTTATGTTTATAAATCGTGAGTAATAATAAAACAATAATAATCCATTCTGTTTATTTTAATTAATTTATACACCTAAACTTTTTTGGTTTTGTCCAAATCTAATATGTATAAATTAGTATGTGTGAGATTATAATGTATTTTTAAAGTGGCCCACGAGATCATATGGATGGCCACTCTTATTCTATAATGACTACTACCGGCGTGGCATAGTACGTATCAGACGAGTAAGAAACATCGTTGATGCTTAAGTACCACTGTCCACCGTTGTATTTAACAATTTTATAGGATTTTACGCTATGATTACCGAAACGAGAATTTAGAGTTATTATTTATGTTTGTAGGTTAAACAGTTGTAATTAAACGAGAATTCAAGACAAGTAAATCCAGAATTAAGAAGTATAAAATGTAGTATATTGTCATTTAATTTAAAAAGCGCGGGAAATACAATAATTTTAATTACAAATCATGAACCATCCTTTTGGTAAATATAATATAATATGATTGTAAAAAATAATAGAAAATAAAAGGTACCTGTCGAATTAATATAATTTTATTTATAAGTTTGTACGTATTCATAAATACATCAAAAATAGTTTTGATTTATATATTTTTTTTAATAGGTTTCAAGATAAACATAATATGATATAATAAATAATAATCAATACTAAAATCACTCGTGAAATAGAATGCATAATACAGTTCCATACTTCAGTGGGAATTCTGGTATTCATTAATATTTATGAAATTTAATCAACAGAATAACAGAATTTTTTTTTTAAAACTGATATATTTGAATATTGTATGAAAAAATTAAAATTCATATTTTATTACTGACTTTTGACTATACTATTGATTTAACCTAAGCTTTTAAGTTGTTAGAATGCAAACCATTTTCTGTGTTTTATATTATATTATATTACTTAATATTATATAAAAATAACTTATTCAGATAAAAAATTTTTAATTAAATAGTTTATACAAGAACAGGACTTTTATCAAGGTTGGAATGGTTATTGATGATATAATTGGGTAGTATAATATTAAATAAATAATTGATTACTTAAAACTCGCAAGTAGTCAACAAATTTCAGTAGGTAGGTAATTGAAAGTTTGAAGTATTAAGTTTGATAAATACTATATAGTGGAGTTATAATGGAAATTAAAAAATATTATTTACATTATAAATAAATCAATATTTTAAGATAAAAATGAAAATATACTATTTATCGCAATTAAAGAATTATATTACATTATAACATAACATAAACATATTTGTTTGTGTATAGGTACCTACATCTAATAATAAATTAAAGTTGAAACGTAACAAATAATTTTGATAAAAGTTTTATTATATTATATTGATTTCATAAATCATAATAATACGTTTAATGCACTGATATTATGTAGGTAATTTATGTAGGTATATACGTACTACGTAATATTATAAACCAACTTTATAATGTTAATTATTTTGAGTAATATTATTAAATATTGTTTATCGATTTTGTTGGATATGAGAAAAAGATTTAAATTCTATAGACCTCGCATATAAGTCAGTAGTATAGTAATGTAAAATTATTTGATTATTATTAACTATTTATAATTTAATATGAGACGAGATTACAACTCATATATTAGAAATATTAATATTATTTTAAAATATGGCAAATTAAAATAAGTAAATAGTCCACTATGTCTAACCACAGCTTGAGACTGCTGGTCTCGAGATCAGACAGATGGGTGTCGTCCGAGTCGTGAAATTAATTTATATGGATAAGTCCTAGTATGTAATAAAGATTATGGTAATAGTCACCCTTGTTAGCCATTGATTGTAAAGAGTAGCTATCATCACAGCAAGTTTGTACGAATTATAATTATGATGTAATAAAACAAACAAAATCCAAAGAGAACGCATATCACAGGTAAACGAATTCATAATTTTTATGACAGTACTTCAAATTATGGGTGTTGTTTTATATGTAACGAGTTGAACGGAATGTTATACATTCAACATTTATATTATATTATAGTAAGTATACAACGATTACACCGAGAACCCTTTAAACTTTTTGAGTAATCATTATAAAATAACTTTTAAGTAGCAAAGTTTACCAAATATTCTCAATAATTAGTCAAACACAATTTATAATTTACAATGTCTATATCGAACGGTATAAGATATATAACTAAATGCAATGATGCGCATTCTTAATAAAGAAGTAAAAATATAACTTTTAAATTTTAATCTTATAATTGAAAGCACATCTCCCTCAAATGTTTTAAGTACTTCAAAAACGTAAATAGAATATGTACGTCAAAATTAACGAAGTACGATTTAAGCGCTCAAGTTGAATCATTTGGACATTTTCAAAAGGGTAAAGTATAAAAATAAATAAAAGAGTACATACGAGTAGAGACGGGGAATCCCTGACTGAAACAAGGGGCGCGTTCGATAAATTCGTAACCATGGATACCATCCCTCGTAAAACTACCAATGGGAGCGTTTTAAAAAAGCTCCCTACAGTTTGTAATCCACATGCAAATTCCCCCCTCGTCATCCCTCTTTCATTCCCACTATATCGTAGTATGACTGCAATTAAAGAGCTTATTCAACCAGCAAAAACCCCTTCCCCGAGGCAGCTTAAAAGCAAATTCCTCTTTATTTTCATTTGTAAAACTAAAAGAAAGATTAATCAACATAAAATTCTGAAAAATACCTGTGATTAGAATCCGTATGTAGGTCTTGTCTCACTCCTGGAGTTACAATCGCAGGATGAGAATGATGAGTATGATGGGATAAATGGTGATGAGGTGATGGACCACTCATCAGTCCCGTCGGTGAAAACCTGTACAGCTCACTAAATAAAAATACGTAATATTTTGTTATGAATATAATTTTAAGTATAAATAAAAGAGGTGCATTTCAAGAAGTTCCGCCCAAGGGAAACATATTTTTTCTGCCTATTTAGTACATCTATCAAATACAAACAATAAACAATAGAACAATTATACGCGAAATACAATTAATTTATTCTATGTTAAATAATATATATTATAATAAATAAATAATTGTTATCTTTTATATTTGTCATGATAATCATTTTATATTCAATAAAAGAGTACCAATTAAAAATGCTTTGTTATTTTTCTTTATGTGACTCATATTATCAACAACATTTAACATTCACTTCTGATTTTAACAAATTTAATGCACACATTTTACGAGCCATGATATAGATAATTATAACTTTTTTAACATTATTTTACTATACATGTCATTATAATAGTTATATCTATATTATACTATATTCTATAATATAAAATGTATACAATGAAATTATATTAAATGTAAGTTTCAAAATCTAAATAAACTTTATAAAATAGACTTATTTTTATTTTTCAATCTATTGAAAACTCTATTGAAAACTCTTATGTTGACATGAATATTTTAAATTGTACTTCGCCACAAAACCAAACAAAAGTCTAGCATATTATGTCATTGGTAAAATATTTTTATAATGTAAGAAAACGATATTGTTTTAGAATTCCTCTGATATGCGCATGATAGGTATAATAACATCAAATGTATGATGTGAATTGATTATTTATAAAATGTACTCGGAGTAAAAAAATAATTGTTATTTTAAATATGTTGCTAAAAGTAATATACCTAATACACAGAATGCTCAAAGTAGCATATTTCTAATAAAACATATTATAAATATACATATTCAATAGGTATGATTAAATAAATGTATACAACGGGAAAGGACACTATGCTGTATAGTAGGTGTCGAGTGAACCTAAACTGAGTCAATAAGTCATTGAGTATGGATCACTCAATTGGGTGTGTTCATGTTTGAATATTTATGGATACATCATACATTATTGCAAGAGTTAAATGATTCTGATCTATTAATAATTTTTTTTTGTACTAATAACGTGGTTTTTTTCTAAAAATAAACCGCATAATTATTATAATATAATTTAATTTAACTATTATGTAAATTGGCCATAGTTAAATATTTAACCATGTATTTTTCAATATTTTTAAATTGCTACAACTTATGTTTATCGCATTTTAAAATTTTTTGATAGATCATACAAATTCAAAATTCAAAAAGTTTGTAAATTGCTTAATATTAATTTAATTATTTTGAAGATTTCGATGTATAAACAAAATTATAATTTAGGTAAATAGTGAAATGTTTCAAGTTTTTACTGATAACATAACAAAAAAGCGAGGAAAATGCTATGAACTACCTAGAATAATATAGGTATCATAAACAATCGATTTTAGTTTTAATGTTGATCGTATACATATATAATAGTTTACAATTTGCAGTTAATTCAACGTACCTTAAGATAAATATTTTATTAATAATATAGTTAACATACTTAAAACGTACTTATATAATGGTATAACTTACCTAGTTAGGCTTGAACCTAAAGAAGGTGGGTAGGATCCTCTGAAACCAGTTCCAGCCGCGGATGAGATCTGATGGTACATACTGGCCGGTGTGTGCCTGAGAAAAAAAAACACAGTATAAAAATTGTATAGTCAAAAAGCTAAACCCTTGTTATTTGAAAGTATAAAGGAAGAAAAGCATAGTGGAAGAAAAGCGGCTTAGATAAGTTTTGTGAGGGAGTAAAGAGATCGTTTCTGGTGAATTACGGAAGCCGTCGGCTACGAAAAGCCGATTGATTTCCCAAACCGAGAAAAAAAAATGAGGGGAGAAAACCGATTTTCCTGGTAACAAATTGACCGGAATAAGAACAAACAAGGGTCAACGTGGTGGACAAACTAGATTAGAGGTTTTCACGGGGCGTCAACTGACCACGCCCCACTTCTTTCGATAGTTCACAAACAAAAGTTTGGCGTTTAAACGATTTTTAAAAATTCAACAACTCTTTTTATATACTTCTGTCTTTTATAAATACTTATGAGTTATGACTTATGAGTTTACGACTTTTAATATTAACTAAAATATTTCATAGAATTATGTGTAGATAAAAATGACTGTGTTCTACCATTATTTTAATAAATTACGACCACCTAAACCTAGTTATTGGTAGAAAGATAAAAAGTTGATAAAAATATAATGTGATCACGCATTTGGTTTTTTTAAATTCAGTAATTTTTTTAATAAATAAATAAATAATATGAAAGTATAAACAACAACACATATGTATATATATACAACTTTCAATGGTATACACTTCACATTTTAAAAGATTCAGTGTTTCTGAAATAGTTATTTCAACTTAATTTCAACATAGATCTTATTAAATATATTTAATTAGTTTTATAAGAAAACCGATTCTGATAAGTTCTAAATGATTTTTATCATAGTAATTAAAACAAATATATAAATAACGTATGGATGGAAACAATGTAGTTTTATTATATAAGTAATGAATTCAGAAAAAAATAATTAAAAATATTAACATTTTTAAAGTACTTACCATGAGGCTGCAACTTGTGACATGTCCGGACTTAACAACGGATAAGGGTACTGGCCTGTAGGGAATGGGTACATTGAAGGCCTTGGAAGTCCTAAATAAAATAAACAATAGTTAATATACCTAAATAAGATTTTTTAAATACAATATTTAGATGCTTAATATTAATTTAAACGTTGGATATATTTTTTTTTAATAATCACATTCGAATTGTATTATAATATTTGAACCTAATTGAATATTTTTTATCTCACTGAACCGAATAAATGTGCCATTTGGTTCCATCCAAATTTTTGAGATAATATAAAAACCACTCGGGCGGTGTAAATGAAAGGGTCTTAAAATGCGTTTAGATTTTTTAAAAGGGTACTCGACTAAAAACAAAGGGTATCGATTTTGTACATTATGGATTTTTCCACATTGGTAACACTTGAACAATAAAACCTACCACAAAGTTTTATAAAAAAAAATCATTTTTACTGTTATTTATATCATATCCATAAATAATTTATTTTTTTATTTTTTTGTAATCCATAATAAATAATGCCATGTTAAAAATACCATAACATAGGTATTTATATAATATTTTGAATTGTTATTTAGATGTGTGCTTATAGTGGTTTTGAAGAATATGTTTTTAAATAGACGGAACAGTGGTATTCAACTATAAGTGGTAAACATTTATTAAATGATATACATTACAAACAAATCGCACATGATATATTAATCGTATTAGTTGTATTCTACATATAATATTATATATAATGCACACATGCGTAAATGTATATATAGTTTAAAATGATACAAATTACGTAAAATATGCAAAAAAATTAGGTCGAGAGTACTGTGATGTTGAGCTCAACACACTCGAACGTTTCACACTCTTAGACGTACACTTAAGCTTATATACGAGAAAAAAGTAGTATACTTTTACGCAGAACTTTACTTCAATTAAAATGTATAAGCCGTACAAATGAGGGACCGATTAAAATTTGACCAGGAGGTTCGTTATGCATATAGCCATAGGGGAGAGCAAAATAATTGTTAAAAAGTCGAGGACTTTTTTTATAAACCCCTTTTTTGTGTCACCGTAATTATCATGGCATAACGGTATTGTTTTCACCGCAGGCCTTTTTAAAGTATTGGCTTCGTCAATGTCTACACGCACTCATATTTAGGGGTTCTTTAGCTTTAAAGGGTGAGAATAAAAATCGATATTAAAAAAAAAAATGTACTCACCGGGTGCTTTGTCAAGTTGGTAAGGAGGTATGCCCATATGGGCGGGTGGTGGTTGGGTACCCAGCTGTTCGCCGTTGTGGCAAAAGAATGGATGGGCTGGTCCTAAACCAATCTTGCTTGCCTGTAACATAATAAGATTGAAAAAAATTAACTTAGTAAAAGTTTAAATTAGTACTTAACAGACAAATCTTTCAACCAAAAACGATATTTGTCAAAAAAAGTTTGATTTATATTTTAATATAAAAAATAATAAACCATTTTACGTGCCAGCATCGTTTGAAAATACATTTTTTGCTCGTTTTGAAATAGTAAGATGTAGTGATAGCGCATACAATACGTGCCTGTTTAGCATAAGTTATCAAGTCCCTTATCGCAATAACAAACGACGGTTCAAGTGGTTGAGTCTCGACCCATAATAACGCCTTTTTTAGATAATCCACTGTTTGCATAGCAGAAGGTGGAATTTCAATGTCCTCGGACTCCGTTGATAAATTTTCTGGCTCAGTGACTTCCACGGGATTAGATAAAATCCAAACCAGCATGTCGTCATCTGATACTTCTAGTCCAAGATCATGAGCTAACCACTGTACACCCAAAATAATACCTTTCATTGCTGATGTATAAGTACAATTTTTCCAACAAGTCGAAAACGATTCTGTGGTGACTTGTAACCAAGCTCTATGTAATAAAATGAACGCGTCTTTTAATGTATATTTTCCTAAAAATCTTTGAATTGACCGTTCGGATTGTTGATCTAAAGACGCCTGAGTAAGAAGTAGAGCTGTGTATGTAGCTTTGAATTCAATAAATAATGTAGATTTAGAAATTGAATCTCCGTCGTGATTTTGTAAAGAGACTCCGTTATATTCGCATTTTTCTGGAATAAAAGCTGCTTTATCCATAACCAACACGGCTTTTGAATTGATAGACAGAGCAGCTGGACAAAATTCAGTCTCAAACCACCATTTAAACAAATCTTGTGTAGGAAAACCATCACCTCCCCCTGCGTATATCACAGGCTGCCCCAACATATTCACTGTTTCCATACAAGGAGGTCTCCATCTCTTACCTATAACCAATACTCGGGTCCTGTGTCTTCCACTTTTGTTGCCGGCCATCAGTAGCCACACTTTTCGGTCTGGATTTACGGTGGTATCCAATGTAACATCAGGAATACCATTGACATCAAACGGAATCAATAGTCCAGCATAAGTTTCGTCATCATTGTATCCTTCCAAGTTACCTCGATTCTTCATGAACTTCTTAATCCAATCTAGCGTGATTATAGATATGATATTTGTAGAAACTTTGAGCTTTTTCAATATCATGACAGTTTTTTTCTTCAAGTTTAATGGAGTAAGAGGTCGCCCAATACTCTTCGTCCATCGCGTGTACCAAATTTCCAGCTTTTTAATAATATCAGCTTCGCTAGCGATTCGAACTTTGGCTGGTTTTTTTATAAGGACTTGCCTTCTAGTTTTCATCTTCATCGTCGGTTACTTCCTAGCGGCGGACATATCGCACGAACGACGACTGTGACGCGACTGAAACTGGCGGGCTGGCTCACTCCAAATATATAAGTAAAAGGAGATGGACGGACATCAAAGACCAACAACGGAGATAGCTTTTGGAAAGGCCAAAGAACAAAGCAACTTTGACAGAACTCCACAGTCGACACCGCATTATATATATTATGGTAGGAGAGCAGGACCTTTGATGTATGTCCCTTTGATGTTGCAATGCCTCCGCCCCAACAGATAAATGCACTTTACCCCGTTACAAAGAGCTCTTTGACTCAAAGGCATATTTGATTCGCTTTTAATAACGATTATTTTTTAAACTTCAAAGAGCTATTTTTTTTTTAAATATTCCGTTATGTTTTATAAAATAATATATCAGAAGGAAACTTGGTTGGTTTACATTTTCCTAAATAAATAATCTAAATAGGTATATAATTTTATTCGTATGAAATAATAACGTATACAGAGCACGAGCATATAGTAACTTTTATTTATTTTGTAAGTGGGAGTTTCAAATACAATAACATTTACCAAAATAATCTAATGACGTATGTAATTCTGTAATTTAATCAATATGAGTTTCATAAAGTCAATTCCGACATAATCAAGTTTAGGACCCTAAGCTCGATAGCTTCCGGATATGTTCTTCGATCTCATGCCGAGTTGGTCAATTCACAATTCACACCACACACAAATGCCGATTTCCTTATTAAATATAAATACATAAATGAAATACGATTTTAGAAAAGATTGAAAAAAACGAAGTTAGTACTATTATTATTATTATTATTGACACAATTCGATTATAAGGAAATCGTTAAAATTAAAGTAATAACTATTAAAGAATCTTCAATTTATTTATTACTATAATTTATTATAGAACAGAATTTACGTTGGTAAAAAATGAAAACTTAAAATTATCGTATTTTATAATATTTTAAATACTATAATTGCCTACGTTACGTATGTTTTGTTTTATTAGATGTAAGAATATACTTAAATTATATTCTACATTTAATTTAAGACGATATCTAACAAACAACACATAATAATAATTAAATATTCATTTTTATAAATATTGTATTCAAAATTTGGTTTTTAATTATAAACGTTATAATTTTGTTCAGTAGTCACTCACCCGAACTACATTATGTATTAATTTGAAAAATATTGTCATTGTATCCATACACTAGTGAGGATTTAGTGAAACATATAGAGGGGCTTTTTTTTAAATACAATTGTAAAGTCCCTTTTATCTTGTCATCGTCCCCTATCAATTTTTTATAATTGTTATATCTTGGATGGCACGCGTACCTCAATATAAACGAGCACACGACATAATAAGGGAACGGTATTTTTCATTCGTGTTTATTACACCAGTTTATTAAATATTGTATCAATATTAATTTTTTTTATACTTCCTGTCAGTTTCAGTAATACCTATTCTTATATTTGGCCATGTGAACATTTCATTACTTTTCATATTGATATATTTTTAGGAAATAAATGAATTGCTATTTAACTAGTGAATAATATGCAGCGTGGGTGTTGTCAATATCACTATATAATAAATTGAATATATTTTATTCAACCACATATTCACCATAGATTGTAATACCAATTTGTGTATATTTTACATAGCGTTCTCATTAGAATAACATTAGGACTCCCTGCGGCCGAAGTGGCCCTGCTGCGAGGATTTACACCAAAGTCCTCGCCATGCATAGAATAACATTACCATTATCTACCCAACTAATCCTTAAATAATAGACACGTAAATGGGGACATGCCAAAATCCCTGTGACAACGTATTTATGGTCCTTTGTGTAATAAAAAAAAAAAAAAAATTAAAAAAAATAATAACCCCCCAAAAATAATACGTGGGTACAAAAACAAGCCATACTAAACAATTTCTCAATAACATTCATATTTTTTAAAGCCGTTGAACCACGCCCACACGCTTTTTCAATCAGGATCTGATTGCAGATCAGTGAAAGGTTTCCGGGAACAATGTGGACCGATGAATATCTTAACGGAAAGCTCCATAATAGAGAGGGTTGGATAATATGAGGGTGCAGTTGTAATTTATAAAGCCCATATGCACGATGATTCTTATCATTTGCGCAAGTAATGCCACGGTTAAGTGCATTGTCAAAACTCGGAACAAATCTGGGCTGTGACATACTCTGTGATAAAAATTAAGCTGTCAATCAACTTTAATACGAATTTTACCTACGAGCAAATTAAATAGTATTTTACTAGATTGAAGTTGGTACAATACTAAAATTAAACTATCGTTGCCTGACTATAATAAACGATATACTGATATACATGTAAATAGCTATTCCACATTAATAATAGCAGTAATACCTATATACATAATATATTATGCCGATAACAAATATATTTATTATTCAAATCAAACTGTAAATTGCATTTTATTTTTAATTTCATAACAACAATATTCATAATGTATTACTTCATGACATATTATGATGTAAACACTGCTAAACATTTTTAAATTCTGAAATTAAAGTTAAAATCTATGAAATATATATTTTGATATCCGTTAGTATACATATTATGCTAATGTGGCTATTAAATAATATAATAGTATCCCATAGCTGCTTCCAAGAACGTAAATTGTCACAATTTAGACAACGTTATGTTCAATGTTTTACGAAAATGTAGCATATGTTTACAGAATATAACATACCTAACAGTTTTAACAATTTATTCATATTATTAATTGGCTATTTCAATTATAGAATGTATACAACAGTAAGACAATCGTATTGCAGATATGTATATATATTATTTTAGTAAATTGTAATATTTAATTTCCCGATAATAATATTTTTTCACATTGGCTGCGTAATGAAATAACTGTATTGAAACAAAAGTTATAAGCTTCTCAGAAATGTTGAAAATATTTATAATATACACTATTTAATTAAATAATGCAATAATGAATAGATCCATATAGGTAATATTAAAGGTTTATTTCCATTTACTATTTGAAGCTTTCTAAAAATTTTCATGGCACGTTCAAATTACCAATACCAGAAAATTTATAAAATGTAAATGTTCAAAAAAAGTTTCAATAGTTTTATAACATTATGAACGTATATTGAAGTCATTAAATAAAATTGTATATTTTGTCCCTCCAATACTTGAATATCTAGTAGAATAACATTTTAATTATCATACCTTTCAATAGTACTTGACTTATTCACTAACATATTTTTTTAATATTTAATTGGACGTCGTCACAGGGTCACTCAACAACACTCACGAGGACGAAAATGCACTGGATCATTATATAATTTTTCGAATCGTATAATGAATAAACAACAAGAATGATTGGTTGTGTTATTATATAAGAAAAGCCGCGTGCCTCTTTTTTTTTTTTGCATGAGCAGATTTTTTTTCATAGGGACGGAAATTAAAGTGTCCGGTATCCATAAGAAAAAGACCCTTTGGAAAAAAACGTGGGATACTTTTTTCATAAGAACCCGCTGTCGTATACGGTTCAAAGACTTCGACTTTTTTTGGTATGTAAAAAAATAGTCGAACGGGTATTTTAGCCTTTTGGCAGGAACGCAAAGGGCCACCAAATATCTGGAATTTAAATTTTCTCTTTATTCATTTTATTTTTACTATTATTACTTTTTTTATGCCATTATCAGTTTCTCATAAATTTCCCCGATACATTTAAACGATGTAAATATTCTTTATTCAAAATTCAAACATGTATTATAATATATATGAGTAGGTATTATATATGGCAAAAACTTAAAAGTTAATTAATGTAGAAAAGGTTGTAGTCATGAAAAAAACCAAACTACGAGTATATTAAAGTTAAAAATTAAATATAAATAAACAATTAAATACATTTAACAATATAACTATTTGTACTTAATACGGTTAAAAAATGTTTGTTTATTAATAGGTGGGTAGCCAGGTAGGCATTAAATTATATTATGGTACTCCTAAATATATATTTTTTAATGCATACACAAGACAGTATAAGTACGAGGATATTACATATTATTTTGAATTTTGAAGTACAACACTATATTGTATTATTCAAGTTATTTAAATAATTTATTATTTTAGCTATAGTTTAATCAAAATTAATAATATTAATAAATAATAAATAATAATCATTTGAGCGGCTTTCTAAAATCGTTAAATTACAGAAAATAGGATTCTATGGGTAAATTTCCTTGTTTATTTTACAATCGTTTTCCCATTTTACTAATGCACCAGAGGGTGAATGGCTGAATAATAATAAAGTATAAATCCCCAACGATTTCTTTTCATCTTCAAACACAAAAGGAAAACTTATAGTAATAATACTAACTGGAAATAAAAAAAAATATAGGAAAAATGTTAGCTGAGTAAAATATACACGATAGCTCGTAAACTGTACCGATATATTATTGCATCATTATGGCTGAAATTAATAATACCTACATAATACATAAACGATAACAATATAATGATATATAAAATATAAATGTTTACTCTAGTAGGTATTTTATAACATCAGTTTGAAGTTAATTTTAATTCGTTAATACAAAATAAATTTTTATCCACATAAAATAGTTACTTTCCTATCCTGCAAACTACACAACTCGTGCAAATATAATACAGCCTACATGTGTATATATTTTCGATAGTAATTTAGTGCCATAGGAGAGCTCATCCTTCTTGATCACTGGGACTGTCATCAGGGGGATGTAATGGGATAGGGTTGATTGGTTACAAGACAAGTGGACCGAATATGATGACTATCCCTCCCCTGGGCATTTGTATGTTAATGACGTGCATATAGTTAGGACTGGGAGACTGACGAGTGCAATTTTCATCCCTTTGATGTCTCCCTTAATCCTGTTACTCGCCTGTACGGCGCAGTTTCTTCGTCTCAGGCATTTCCCAATGTTTCCGGACTACATCGAAATAAAAAATATACACCATGTAAAAAGGGGAAAATCTATCGGAAAGGGCTACGAAAAAAAGTCAAGTGCGGGTTGTACATGATCGTATAGTGCAAACATATAAAGGGAATGACCACTGTAAGTGGTTTACAAGCCCAGCAGGCCGTGAAATATGGATTATGATCGGCCGCATGGGGGTATTGAAAAAGGGTTGGTTAATAGATTTATTATGATTGCGCCAATTGGTTTGTAATTTGACCGTAGTGGGTTAACTTGTACTATTAGAATAACTAATACCTATCGTTTAACTTACAAAAAGAGAAGTCCCAGATTATGTTTGGTACTCAACATTTATTTTGCTTTAAACTTGTGTAGGCAAATTTAGAAAT